AACAAGAAAAAAAATATGATAGGTCGATGATATAATCGTTGTTTATAATTTGCAAACATATGTGCGAGTTATTTATAAAATATAATTAATTAAATATATATTTATCGAAAACATAATTATCGATCATATTCGTTTGTCCGGGACGAACATTTCGAAGAGTCACTTAGTGCCTATCTTCATGACGAGCATTTTATGTTGCTCAGATAATTCAATCACTGCCTTGTAAATACCGTTTTAACGGTAATCCGGATTGGCAAGGCTCTGTATATAAATTATTATAACAAATAATTACAGGAAGAAAAGAAAATTCCATCGAAAAAAAAACACACACACAAAAAAAAAAGCGAATAAAGTAAAATAAATAAAATGATCAAAAAAAAAAAAACCAAAAAAAAAAAAACAAAGAGATAAAGAAATGATACACGTTAGTATTTTTTCGAGAGAAAACTAAAAAAAAGAATAAAAAAAAAAGAAAAAAGACAGGAAAGAATAAACGTTTAAAGTAACATTGTAAAAAATTTGAGTTACCCGTTCGATCGCGCGCAACCATAAATGGCGTCGAAATATAGGTTATGTTACCAATTTCAGTGCTATTAGAATGTATTTTCTTAGATTATACAGAATTAAATTATGACGATTGAAATTTATAATATTGTTATGTTTTAAATTTGTTATTTGTTGTGATATCTTTCAAAAAAGCATTTTTCAATTGATAAATTTTATGAAATTTACGAGATTACAAGTGCAGCTCATTTAAATCAATGAATACTTTATTTATAAATTCGATGATGATATTTTATAAACGTCATTTATGTCTACAATTATATGATATTATCATTATCCAAATTTTTAATTGAAAAAGGATAACGAAATCGGCAATTTAATTTACAAAAGATAACGAAATCTAAAACAATTTAAATCAAAATGGACGGACACACAATTTGGTGCGTTGTAAATAAATAAAATTCGTATCTAGTCTCGAATCGGGAGATATATTCGTTGTTTCTAATATCATTTTTTATAACAATATGTTAATTTTTGTCCTTTCTTTTGTATTTTGATTTTTGTGCTGGCGCAAATGTACGTACTAACAAAATAAATCGTTTACACTATACTTACCGATTTGTAATAATAATTTATCCTTCCATTTATAAACATTTTGGTTTCATTTCTTTTTATTTTTTCAATTGAATGCAACCAAAGTTCATAATTTAATTTGAACTTTAAATTGAAGTTGATAAATAAAAATGAAATATCAATTAAAATAAGTCCTCGTATTTAGAAGAAGTATGATTGAAATTATGCGAAAATGGTCATAAATCATTCGAAATTTCGTACAATGTATGAAATGCATGACGATTTTATTTTTTACCAATGTTTATAATAGATTTCAGGTATTTATGCTATAATTACTAGCCTTGATAATCAATTACATCATTTGATATGTACTCTGATTAGTATGAGGGTTAACAAATAATAAAACACGTGTTCTTTAGATTAGGTTTATGCACCCTGATGCAATGTCTGTATATGTGAGAACCATGAAGTAAATGTATTGGTGTGCATATGTTTTTTTTTTTTTTAAATATAAGTAATAGGCAAGCAAGTAGTATACTTTCAGTAATAGTATACTGTTCTGAAGTAAATAATATTTTGTAATTAAAAAAAAGAATTTTAATAAGTTTGGTATAGAAGAAAATATATATATATATATATATATACAAACAAAAACAGGAAAGAATAAACCCTAGAAGCACAAAATATTGAAAAATATTGAATACATGACATTGAATCTCTTTTTAATATTAAATACACATGTATTCAATATTTATCAATATTTTCTGCTACTAGGGAACGTTTGTTTAATTAACATTGTAAAAAGTATGAGTTTCGTTTAATCACGTGCAACCATAAATGGCGTCGAAATATAGGTTATGTAGTCAGTTTCAATGGTATAGTAATAGTGGAAACATATATATTTATATGGGAAAATGAAATATATAACAACATAATATACAGGTAAGGAAATGTTTCTTCACGGAAATGCAATATATTCTAATAAATGAAATACAAAAATATTCATACAATAATACGTGTTAGCTACTTGACTATTTACTGACTGCTTTCTTAAACCTTCATCTCTTTAAATCCATTTTTTAATCCTTTTAATCCTATTCAGTTGTTTACATTATTAGGTTAACCACCTTTACACTTCTCTTACATACTATAATACTCTCTTACTATTAGGTGGTTCAGAAAGTCGTTTCGTTTTTTGCTGACGCAATAATGACATTAGTTGATGCAAACCGACAAATAGTAACATATGAAATCGATGAGAGGTTAAATTTATCAAATTCAACTATTTATGACCACTTGAAAGGTTTAGGTTTAACCTAAACAAAACAAACGAAACAAAAATTGTCTTTATTTTTACAAAAGAAAAACGAAGCGACTTTCCGAATCACCTAATATTATATCTGTTCCACGCATACTCAAAATTTAATTCTCACTCGTCCCTTTTTTTAAACATATATATATATATATATATATATGTTATTAATCGTTCATTGAAAATAGAATTTTTATTTTGTATTTTTTTTTTTTTTATTAAATATTTTCTTTTATATTAAATATTTTTTTCTTTATAATTATTAATCAATATTTCGTAATAATCTACGAGGTAATAATTTATGTATATTTTTTCTTTCGCACGATCAACGCGTATAATATTTTTTATTTTTACTATGTTTATTCATTTGTTGTCTTATTTTTGTTTTTTTTCCTTTCAATATATTCTTTTCTATTTTTTTTTTCTTTTTTCATTTCGATATTTTCTTTCTTTTTTTTTTTTTTTACCATTTTGTTAAACAAATTATGCATCTCTGTATATATGAGAATTAATTTGACACACTTGGGGATACCAGCCACACGTGTCTTTTTTATGAAAAAAAAATAAAATAAAATAGTTGTGATATGCTATTAAATTTAGGATATTATTATTATTGTACTATAATATTATTTTAATTTAACTTTACAAATTCTTACGCGTTAAAAAGATAATCGTATAATGGTAAGTCGTATTATTTATCGTTAATTTATTCATTTATTTTATTACGTTTGTGTGTATGTGTATGTGTGTATGTATATTTTTCTTTCTAATTAATATATTTATAATAACTTATAGTTCGTTTCAATTAATTTTATCGATCGTGTAAATTGTCATCGATTGAGGAAAATATTTTTTTTTTCTTTTATTCTTTTCAGTGCTATACGAATAAATATGATATACGAGATAAATATTAATAAATAGATAAAATTATTTTTTATTATTATTTTTTTTTCTTCTTTTTTCATTTAAAAGTGCATAGAAAAAAGTTGGTAAATGATAAATCGATAAAAAAAAAAATTAGGAAGTAAAAATATTTGACGATTTTAATGATACCTCAAACGTTTGATTTTACTTAAAATTACGAATAATAAATATAAATATATTAAGTCGAGTCATAAGTAACTTCCGATGCGACTATGTAGAATCTATTTTTCGTATTTACCTACTATAAGTCACCGAAACAAACGAATTTTTGATATCACTGTATAGATGAGGATTCAGTTTAGTCTTCTGTTAACTTTTTTATGCAGTCAATGTTACATTTAACCGTTTTTCTTAACCACTGAAATGGATAGTAAAAAGTGCATATTCGACATATAATGTTTTAGGAATTGAAACAAGGCAATAGCACTAAGGTGGTAACTGAAAAAATATGCAGCGTATACAGTGCAGGACTGATAACTGATAGGGCAGTCAGAAACTGATTTGTAAAATTCCGTTCTGGAAATACGATCTTAACCTTTGCTTTCCACACTTGGTCCAAAGGACCCAGACCTTTTTTGCAACTTGAGTCATTTTTCTCAATTGTTCAACTTTGATAATTTTTTAAACATATTTAAATTTTATTTAAAGCTATAAAACCTATATAGTCTTTTAAAGTAAGTATTAAAGAGGTCTCAAAAAAAATGTTGAAGTAAATCTATGCAATAGCTTCTTTTTTATAACGATTTTTCTTTGGACCTGGGTGTGGTAAGCGTGTTACTCCAGGAAGAGTGGTAAGCAAAAGTTAAAAGATGAACCGAGTGCAGGACGTATTTCCGACTTTGATGAACCTTTTAAAGATAATATTGGAGCAAAATCCAATAGATACGTCTATCAGATGCAAATAGTGCAAAAAAAACTCCATGAAAGGTGTCTTGCACTTATCAACCGCAGAAACGCCATTCTTTGTCTCATAAAAGACGGAAGTTATTTATGACTCGACCTAATATTTATAGGTTACTTTTTGTTTTTGTATTGGAACAAAAATGAAATTTATGACGATTTTAAATGTAATTAATCATAAGATAGAAAGAGACAGAGAGAGAGAGARAGAGATAGGATTGTTAATATATATTGGGTTGTCCTGAAAATTCGTGCCGATTTTGACGGAAGATTGAAATGCAACGCATTTAAGTTTTTTTTATATTTGTTAAATAATATATAAGTGTCATTTTGTTCAACAACCTTTCTTCATCTTAAAGAGTAACTTACAAATTTTCTTCTTCCAGAACTTCTCAGGTTTTTCAGTAAAAAAAAAAACTTTATGCCATCTATCGAAAATCAGCACGAACTTTTCGAACAACCCAATAGATATGTGTTTTTGTTTAGTTATTTTTTTTAGGGTAACTTATTGATCACTTATAAATCTTATTTACATATTATCAGTGCGTATAAAAAGCCACGTACTTACTAATAATATCTCATAGGATTATTAATTTATCTAAAAAAATTTAGTTGTCATGTTTTAAGGCACGTAAACCGATAGGATTTTGAGGTTAATCGATTTCTTTATGAATTAATGCGAGTATCGTTGAATTCAATTAAATTAAATATATATATCTATTATATTATATATATATATAAAAAAAGAAAGTCTTATCTATATACTATAAACTATTATTTAGAAATGTAATTAATATATTTCATCTATTATTCATAACGTTATATATGGAGATTTTCTTGATATCCTTCAACCTCGTTGTACATTTTTCTCAAAGGATCTTTCGTATTGTTAGGTAAATAATTTGGTATACTCGGTGCTACCTTATTGTTACCTGGAATTATACCATTGGCTAAATGCGCAACGCCATTTTGCAACATATGCGTCGTTCCATTGGTTATTCCATTTTGTCGTAGGCCACCATTTTGATTCATCTTCTTTGCGTTGTTCAGTACTCCATTAGTCATGTTGGTGACTCCTAAGAAAATATAATATTTATTGTTAATAATAAATTAAATATTAATCGTATGTATATAATAAATAGGAGAGTAAAAGAGTATTATTATTAATAATAATAATAATAATAATATAATAAAATAATTATAATAATTTAATAAAATTATTTATATCATTATATGTAATAATAATTAATAAATTGAATATAATATATAATTATATAATTATTAAATAAAAAAAAACAATTTATGATATTGAATTTAAAAATTAGGAAATTAAATTTTCTACAAAATATACGATTAGGGTAATTATTTTGTTTATAAACAAAAATTAGGCTTGTATACTCTTTTACCCTACAACTTCTTTGAATATTTAGTAATTGTCGTCCATTTTGACTAAGTTATAAAAATCCTTTTTATAATTTGAACAAAACATTATGGAAAAGTTTTGTCTCCATATAAAAACATTGTAATCTGACCTTGAACTACGACGCCATTTAAGTTTTCCACTTTATCTATCGTCTTGCTCACTTGATCAGATACACCATTGTTGAGCATTTGCCTTGCAACACCATTTGCAATATTATGACCATGATGTTTCTGTCCTTCTACGTCCTGGGTCCCATTCATGTCACCGGAAACTGGTAAGTTTGGGTCTACGTTGTCGACGTTTTCTTGAAACTTTGGCGATTCTGGTCCACGTGGGTTGTCTTCCTCCTTTCTTCTAGCACGTCGCATTAGTTGATACAATGCTTGGGAGAAATCTTCTTTTACACTTGGCACGTCCGTGTCACCGTCAATCTAAAAAACAAAAATAAAAATAGAAACATAATGTCTTCTTTTGAATTGTTGAATTGTATTATTTGTCGAATATTAAATTGTTAAACTTACGATCACTAATCGATTATCATTGTCCAATGTTTTCAACATGGGCAACGACATTTCACGAAATAGTTCTAATCTTTTTCTAAAAGCTGATACACTGTCATCTAATCTTCCTTTACCGAGTTGAAGTTTCGAACAATCCAACAATATTAATGGTGGTTCTTGTCCAAACTACAAAAAAATAATATAAACCCCATTACAATTTGATTTAATTTGTTTTGTACAAAAAGATGAACATCTTTTCGTAAATACTTGGAAAAAAAGAAATGTATTTTACTTTGTTCTCAAATTCCTGAACTTGATTCAAATCCCTGGGATATCCATCGATGACTATACCATCAGTATCACGGTTCAAAAGTACTTGTTGTTCGACCAATGGCATTATGACATCTTGAGACACCATTTCACCAGCTACTATTGCTTCACTGACAGTCGGATTTGTTGATGCCAATCCTCTTAACAATCCACCTAGACTAATATGAACCCATCCTGGCATATTTTGAACCGCGTGACTACACAAAACTGCTTTATTACTACCAGGTCCACCTTAGCAAACAAACAATGAAAAATACAATTTGGTCATAAGATTAAATATTAAGAAATGTTCGTTAAAAAATTTGTAAAAATAATAACCTATGACCCATATAAATGCTGGTAAACCTTTTCTAGGTTTAACTGCAGTTTTAGATGCTTTGGTGTCTATTTCAGTTGGTGGTTCGGTCATTTCAACTACAACTACTTGATCTTTTGGCGTTGGTGTTCTAGAAATTGTTTCTTCTCTCCTTTCTACTTTTACCTTTATCAAAATCATTTAAATATTATTTATCATATATATATATTTTTTATTTATTTGTATTATTTATTAACTTACTTCTGCTTCTAACGGTTGAACTATTTTCTTATCTTCCTCGTCTGTTGTTGGTAATCCTAAAATTCTCATAACAGCTTCTCGAAAATCAATAAAAACTTCATTGGGGTTTCGTTCACCGTTTACCTTTAGAATTGGGAACAGATTTTATCAATTTAAAAATATAAAACAAGGTTTAAATAAAGTTTAAAAAGAAAGGAAACATATTTCTCATATTTTTAACAAAAATAACAAATAAAATAATAATTAGAAATAAAATTTAATTTATTTGTGTAGTTTTTAGTAATTTAATTATTAATCTATTATTAAATTTCTTTTAATTTATTTATTAAATTTAATTAGCATGAAATTTAGTTTATTTATTTAGTTTTTGGTAATTTAATTTTTAATTTATTATTAAATTTGGTTAATTTATTTATTAAATGTTTATTATTAAAAATTAATTAATTTATTATTTGATTTAATATTAAATTTATTATTAAATTTTATTTATTTATTTAGTTTTTAAAAATTTAATTTTTAATTTATTATTAAATTTGATTGAACTATTAATTAAATTTAATTAAATAAAAATATATTTATATTTTATATATATATTTATTATTAAAATATTATATATTTATATTTATTAATAAAAAATATAATAAAAATTTAATTTTAGCATTAAATTTAATTTATAAATAATATTTAATAATTAAAATATGATTTATAATATTATAAATTCGTTCGAGATTATATTATACAAAATTATATTTTCTAATCAAGCATATGTAAAAATAATAATACAAATTTAAAATAATTAATAATTAACAATGATTTATCTCACATAAAAAAAAAAGATAAGATAATTATATCATCTAACCTCATAAAGCATGCCACTTTGATCGAAGTATTCCACAACTGGCATAACGTTTCTGTAAAAATTGTGTAATTCCATTCTAGCTAATCCGATAATTACATGACCAAGTTGAGCACCAAAATCGATTTGTCTTTCGAGAACTTCCTGTCTCCATGAGACAAGTATAACACCGTTGACGATTTTTATCTAGAAATTAATTACAACGTTTGATATATTAATCCATATTAGAAACATAATTATGTAATCAAAATGAAAATGATCTTTATAGAAAGAACAATGTATATATATATATATATATATACATATATCTATGAACAATGAATTACATTGTAATACGTATCACGCGATTTTTCACTTTAAATACTTGTTGAACATTTGAAAGTTTAGACAAGTATTGAATTATCACTTAAATATCAATTAACTTACTATACACTAGTCTACTGATTACTAACACATACATTTATATATACACATATACAAGTACCTAACTTGAATATATTATAATGGATTACAATGGGACCATAAGTCAGGTCAATAGGTCAATATGTATGTAAGGAAAGTTACAGAATAAATATTACCATCGTAAGGGTACATACTAAAACGATGATCGTTAAGAACTACTCAATTATTCATATCTTTCTACGTTATTGAATCAAAAAAAAAAATAATAATAAGAAGAAGACAAGAAAAATAGAAGACAGAATAACAAATATAAAAATAACAATTGTGTTATAAACATTTTATAATACCTTTTCAGCATATTCAACTACGTCCCGCATATTTCGCGGATATCCACTGACGAGAAAAACTTTGGCCTCTGGAGACATTTTCATTTCCAACATGAGTACTTCCGATACCGTTTTACTGCTTAGTTGACCGAAATCTTGCATATCTGTGATCAAGAAATGAAAAAACAATTTTTCGAATTATAAATTTAACTCTTTGAATGATATGGGCGCTTATATGCGCCCAGCGATAGCTGTCGGCTTTGACAAAGGGCGCATATATACGTTTATCAATTTTGTTCGACCATCTTTGACTCGAAATTCTTTTTTACTCTTATTTAATCAAAATAGTTAAACATGCCAATTTTCATAGGAAAAATTGTTTCTTTGTAAATTCGATTATTTAAATCAAATTAGGTATAGTAATTTTAGTATTTCTTACTTTAAGTTAGATAATTGTATTAAATATTTAACCCTATAAGTACTGTAGACGCATATATGCGTTTGGTAAAAATTACTAACGTGGTTGTTCGACACATATACTTATTTGTTAATATTAATGTAAAATATATATATAATGTAATATTTATATTAATAAAATTAAATTATATATTCATAAACAAAAACTTTTATTTATTATTAAATATTATTTATTATTAATATGAAATTTATTATTATTTCATTTTCATAATTTTATTTTAAATATAATTTATTATTAAAATTTGGTTAATAATAAATTATTCCGTTCCTACAAAACATTTTAGGTTAAAGTATTAAGCATTCAAAAAGTTAATAAAAATTGAATTAATAAATAATATTCACCGTTTCCAAGTGCATATTGTTGAAGAAGGTCCATCATGTTGATATGAGTTATGCCTTTTCTCTCCTGCATCAGATTATCACAGTGTGTTACCTTACCACTACCTGGACCACCTAATAAACAAATAATTTGATTATTTTTATTTTTTATCAATATTTAACACTTTGAGCGCCACGCGAATTCTGAGGAAAATTCCCGTCAGGCCCCAGGCGTTACTTTGTATTGGAAAAATAGTTGAACGTGTCAGTCACCTGTGACGGACGCGGCCTAAACGGAAAGTCTAGTGTCAGCCATTTATGGCTGACGTGACGTTTAACGTGTTAAAAATAATTTAATGACAATAATAATATAATATATATATATAAATGGTGGTAAACCAACCGAGTACAAAAATGACCGGAACCTTCGGCATTTCGAACTTAAGCGGACCCACATTTTGTTTCGTGAAACGTCCGTCAGGCGGAGTCGCCAACAAACCAGTTTCTCCTCGCCATCTTCCTGTACTTCGAGCATCGGCATCCTCGAACACCTGCGATCCATTTTGTTGGTCTGCAAAATCATCCCCAGTTGAAAATATGATGACCAAATGTATTAATGATTATTAAATAACAAAATAAAAAATATACGATCATTTTTTATTTTTTATTTTTTCTTTAAACTCAAAATTCGTTGAATCATATTTTTCATTAACCTATAAAATAATTTTTGTTGAACTTAACCCTCTATGGGCCTGTGTTACTGTCAAGTAACAAATTCATTTTTCAGCATTTTATTAAGCAATTTTAGTTTTTTTAATGAAATGTCATATACATCTTAATTTTTGAATCTTTTCGAAACAACTAATACCATATTCATGACGGTTGCTAGCATAATTAACATAAAATAACAAAATAAATATTGTGCCAACTGTCTGTAGTAGAAGCAAGCGAAACCTTTTTTTTTCATTGATACTATTTTTGTTTTAATCGCTGTTTATCGAATAAAAAATTATGTATATAGTAGTTCTGAGTTTGAAAATCCATAAAAATTAATTTTTTCGCATTCCAAATATCATTTAAAAAATTTTTTTTCATGATAAAATTCTGTTACTTTGAAGTAACATTGGCCTATAAAGAAATCTTCTGTATATTTAGGATCACGCTTTTTTGTTCTATCGAATGTTGGAAATAGTTGAAGAATTCGTTGCAGCAAACAATTCTTGACCATTTTTATCAGTTTTTTTTGAGGAAAGATTCGAAGATTCTAAAAAGATAAATTTTTACGAAAAAAATAGATAATTTAGACCGGTGGTCAATGCTTAGCTGTTATATAAGCAAAACTGTTCATTGCATTCTGTTGGACCCAGGAATCAATATAACTTAATAACATTTAAAATTAAAATTGTGTGCATCCTGTCTATGTCAGGAGTACAAAAAAATCCGTAAAAAAGGAGGACGTCTTTTTTCCACCAATGTAGATAAAAAATTATAAAGAATATAAAAAGAAGACCAAGTACAATACTTCCATCAAAAAACGTGCGAAAAGATGAAGTATATTTATATTTATTTATGTGTAACGTCAAGTGAAAACTGTTTCGTTGAGTTTTACGCTTAAGTTTTCATACACAGAAGTGCGAATATTATAGGCCGTTGTTACCTGAAAGTCACATAGTAAATATACTGCAATAAAATTGTTTAAACAAAAAATTTTTTTTTCATTTGCATATATATGTTTATAATTGCTGATTCTTCGTTTCCTCAATTTTTTTGTATTGAAAAAAAAATTTGGCCCATAGAGGATTAAAAAATGATTTGGGGCCATAATTATGAAAATTGTATTTGTAAGTCATGTATCTTGTTTTAAGATATTTAAAAAATTATATTTGAACATTAAATGAATTCTAAATAATAGAATTCACAGAATTCATAGAATTCATAGAATTCGCAGAATTTTGAAATTAAAAAACACCATCTAACGGTTAATTTTTGACAATATTATAAAACTTACATTAAATTAATGTGTTTTAATTTTATATATTAATTATATTAATTAGATTAATATTAATAAATAATTAATAATCTAAAATAATTTAGTTTGAAATATTATAACTGATAATCTTATTTTTGTTATTTTGATTTAGGTTAGTTCACTTTCATAATTATGGCTACATATAAAACAATTTTTATATTTTTAACAATATCGTAAAAATTACATTGAATAAATGTGTTTTAATTTTATATATCTCAATTATATTAATTAGATTAATATTAATAAATAATTAATAACTTAAAATAATGTAATTTGAAATAACTGATAAACTCATTATTTTAATTGTAATTTAGGTTAGATCCCTTTCATGATTATAAAACAATTTTTATTTTACTACAATAATTTAKTTTTTTTTTTTTATATATTAACCATTGTAACAACCAACATTTCAATATTATTGTCTTAATTGTCGTTTATATGAGTTTAGAAGAATTATAATTGAAAAATAAAAGTGTCTGTATAATTAAACGATAAATTAACAATTAAATTGATCCAATCGATGAAATATGAAATTTTTTTTTTCTTAATACGTTTCTTCGTTATCATCGATAAATTACGAAAGAATAATGTATAAATTAAATGCATCATATGCGTGAATGATCGATATTAAACATTATATACATATGACGTATTAATACTTCAAGGTAACGTGTATCCTGTTAAAGGTACGTTAGAATGCAAATCGTTATGGTTAAACATTTTCAAGGATATCAAGAATGATAAAAATAAAGAAGAAGAAAAGAAAAATATGATAGAATTAAAATATCTCCATTGACAATACTTATTATACAGTAAGTTACATAAACTTCTTCTTATTATTATTATGATTATTATTATTATTTTACCGTTAAATGCATATAAAATTCTTCAAGTTGCAACTACTACGTTCATTCTGTTTTTAACAAAAGTTTTTGTAACTCGTGTCCTCGTAAAATATTGATAACTACGTAAGTCATATTAAAATTGTATACAAAATTCATATTAACTTGTTTTCATTGGTAAATGAAAAAAAAAAAAAAAACATTCTAGTTAAATTACTGTAAAATAATAATTAAGTTCATTTTTTTCATATTTTAGTACATTTTGTACAAATATCTATGATTTATGTCGTTTCTTTGTATACAAAATAAAAAATTAAAATGAACAATTCTCATAAATACAAACTTAACCTAAAAAATTCTTTCTAAATGATACTCCAAATTTAATGAAACTAATTTTTGGTTATTAAATTGTAAAGAAAAGTTAACAAACTGTAAAGCTTATAAAATAAAGTCTGAAATAATAAAAAAAAGGAATGAATAATCCTTTTTTTTGACAAATGACAATTTGTTTTGTTTGATCACGTTGTCAGTTCATTGTCAATATGAGATCCGTTCGATATGACTTATATTGGTTAATCATGAAAACAATGCAATGCAAAAAATATCATCATAAGTAAGATCACGCGAGCAGACATTCGTTGTTATCGATATCGATATTTTTCATCTTGAATTCCGTTATCGAAAGATCGGTGATTGAATGTGCGATCGGATTCGTCGTGTTAGATGTTATTACCCTTGTGTGTCATATTTTATGTATAATAATAATGATTTACAGTTGTAACATGTGCCTACTACCATCTCAAAGTATAGTTGTGTACTAGTCGTAGATTATTTTTCCTAGAAGTATAGAGGGAAAAAAAAAATAAAATAAAATAAAATTCAATACTACGCTGCGCAACTATTCACAGAGGTTCGACTTGTTTGCATACGATTCGTTTGTTCTTGTTTGTTTATTTATTTTTTTTTTTTTCTAATGTTATCTTTTACCTTTTATCTCAATTTTTATTTTTTGGTTTTTATTTTAATTGGCACACAATATAATTTGATGGAAATTATTTTTTTTTTTTATATGTATGGAAATAAAAATGGTTTTGTATTTATTGCAATTAAGGTTTATTAAATTTTTCTTTTATTTTATTTTTTTATTTGTTATTTTTTTTAATGTAAATGAATAGAAATATCTTTATATTTATTATAATTAGGGTTTATTAAATTTTTATTTTATTTGTCTATTTTTTATTTTTTATTTTTTATTTTTTATTGGTTTACGTTTTATACGATTTTTATTTTTATATCTATTGCAATTAACATTTAATAAATTCTTCTTTTATTTTATCTTATTTAATTTAATTTAATTTAATTTTATTTTATTTTATTTTATTTTATTTTATTTTATTTTATTTTATTTTATTTTATTTTATTTTATTTTTTATTTGTTTACATTAACACGAATAAAAACGTTCTCATATTTGTCCCAATTAACGTTTATTAAATTTTTCTTTTATTTAATTTAATTTTATTTTATTTTTTATTTGTTTCTTTTATAAAAAAAAAAATTTTAAAACACTTTATTTATCTGTGTTAGTATGAAACGTTTTAAGAATTAATCCGTAAATGTCATATAATGGAGAAGCACGTAAGGAAATTGAAATATTTAACGTCATCGTCTTCCTTAATAAATCATGGTTAGAATATTGATTAGTTTTATGTGACTTCGTCTCGTTACTCTTCTTTTCTTTAGGTCGTGTGCGAGTAAACGTATACAAAAAAGAAAAAGAAAAAAGAGAAGAAAAAAAAAAAATAAACTGAAGAACAATTTAGATTGTGATCGGTGATTGATTAATTTTATTTCAAGTACGTTGACTCGATCGTATTAATGAAATTTCTTTTCCTCGATTATTTTATTTCTCTCACTCTCTCACTCTCTCTCTCTCTCTCTCTCTTTCTCTCCCTCTCTCTCTCTTTCTCTATCTCATTCTTTCTACATCTCTATTTTTGTGTATTGAAAAACGTATGTTTTATTAGAAAATATTAAGGGTTATTTTCTTAACGATCGTAACAAGATGTTCTTATTTTCTTTTCTATTACCTTGACACACGTTTAATCGATTTGAATATAATTTTAAACAAATATTAAAAATTAATATTCATTAAATTATTTTTGCATGATAATATAATATAAAAAAATATATACATTATTATAATAATTGGTCGTAAAAGTCAAACTTGATACACGTGTGATCGATTTGAATATAATTTTAAACAAATACAAAAAATTAATATTTACAATAATATTCATTAAATCAAATTAAATATAAAATAAATTAATATTCACAATAATATTTATTAAATTATTTTTGTATGATTATATAATATAAAAAAAAATATATAAATACTATTATAATAATTGGTCGTAAGAGTCAAACTTGACACACGTGTGATCGCACACACACACACAATTTGAATTTAATTTTAAAAAATACAAAAATTTAATAAATATTTACAATAATATTCATGAAATTAAATTAAATATAAAAAAAAAAAGTTAATATTTAAAATAATATTCATTAAATTATTTTTGTATGATAATACAATATAAAAAAAATATATATATTATTATTATAATAATTGATCGTAAGAGTCAAACTTGATACACTTGACTTGTAATCGATTTGAATATAATATAAAAAATTAATAAATTAATATATTCACAATAATATTCATTAAATTGGTTGTAAGAGTCAAATCGTATATCGAAAGGTTTTTATTTCAATTGAATTTTTATTCGGCATAGATATTGTACTTTAGATATGTTTATGTTTACCGATTGTAACACAATGTTTTAATGAGAAGTGTCGTGGAGGGAACTTACTCGGCCAGTTGCAATATTGATTCCTTTAAGGTGACTCATACCTGTGGAACTTTCTCTTCATCGTATAACCGTCTTAGAAAATAAAATGAAGAATGTGTACAATTGTCACGCGATATTGAAAATGATAAGAAATATAATTATTAAAAAATGAATATAATAGATCTCATTTTTAAACGAATTCAAAATTCGACTGATGGATAAGCGTTTGATTTTGAAACAAATAAAAAAATAATTTAAACGAATAAAAAGAGGATATTGGACACAAATCGTTCATTTCGAAGATGATGTTGCAATATCTTTTTTTTATCTCGTTATAATTGTATTAAATGTAACAAATATACGACATTTTGTTTTTTCTAATATATGGTAATGTTAAGTACATGGTGTTAGTTCTCTATTTCTGCATGGTGAATGCTATTAACGCTATAGAAGAAGGGGGTGGGTTTTTTTCAATGTTATTGTTATTTACAAAATTGCAAAAAAATGAATTAATAATCTTTTAATATTGTACAATATTGTGTAATAGTTTGTTATGTTATTTTGTAATTATAATTGAAAAATACAAATTATTTATTATATTGAAATATTTTAAATATTACCAATATTTAATATTAAATATTATATTTATATTTATTATTAAATTTGATAATATTAATTGTAATAAATGAATATTTATTTTATATTATATTAATTTATTATATATTAAATTTAATTAATTAATATTTAATATATTAAATATTAAAATATTTCAAATATCAAAAATATTTTAAAAATTTCAAAATAATTTTAAAATACTATTTATTTATTTATTTAATTTTTCTATATAAATTGCAATAGAAAATATATCAAACTAATCATTTTGATTACCAATCAAATGATTTTCATAATAAAAAAACAAGAAAAATGGAAGTCAGAAATATTCACATTAAGGATATTAAAAAATACATTGTGTGTGTGTGTGTGATATTAAAATGTGTCAAGAATCTTGAAATCGCAGAATACGTAGTAAAATAAAAAAAAAAAATCTATCATCAAATACTAATTTTATTAACATGAGTCGGACGTTGTTGTATCTTTTATTTTCAATGTGCAACTTCCTGTTTCCTGAAAGGGAAATTCCCTTCAGATAAATGAAAATCTGAGTTTGAATTTCTTTTTTATATTGGATCGATAAAAAAAAATAATCGTTTTAAATAATTGATTGTTAAATATGAATACCCTTATATATATATATATATATTCTTGTAGATAATTATTAAGTAAATAACAAAATATATAAATAATATAATAATATATAAAATATATTAAACATTTAAATATTTATATAATATATTTTATTATTAAATTTATTTAAATATATATAAAATATATGAATATATATAAATTAATAATTATTATTATTAAAATTATAAAATATAATATATACTAAATAATAGTATGTATAAATTAATAATAATAATTATAAAAATTATAAAATATAATTTATAATATAATAAATAATATATATAAATATATAAATAAATWAGTAATCAATTTAAATAGCTAATTGTAAATTAGAAATACTTTAGAAAAATATATTTATATATTTATATTATATGTGGATAATTATTAAATATAAATAAAATATATATATATAATAAAAATATAATAAATGTTAATACTAACCAGTGTCCAGGCAGATGCCCATAGTAGGTCGTTCGACTAATCCTTCCACGGCCATTTACTCACATGCTTGCAACACACGCGATCACTCGTCCGTTAATAAACACACCCCCCACTTTCAACACGTGGAGTTTTGTTGAAAATAACCGAGGCACCACGAATTTTCACGAATCTCACCCTGTCCTCGTAAAATAAATAACTAAAGTCATTAGGTTCCTTTAAAAGGAACAATTTATCGATAATACAACCCCCTTTTCAACGCAAACGTTTCATTACTTATACTTCTTCAATTATTATACTTTGTACACTCTTATTTCTTTAATAAAAAAAAAATATATAAAAACAAAACATTCAAATAATTATTATACAAATTACAATAATAATTTAATTCTTTTATTACAAATTATTTAATTAACCGTGAAATTTAATTTTTTCACCAACGAACAAACGTCCGTAAGAGGGTGGTGTTTCTATTTGCCAATTTCTATCAACTTTAGGATCAATTCGACGAATTTTTCTCAAAAAACTTCTCAATGCGTAACTCAATATTAATACCATCAACATGTAATATATTTTCAAACAATGTTCCTTCAAATTCGAAATAAATTCGTCCCAATTTTCTCGATAGATCTTCGTTGTGGATCACCAATTTGTAACCAAATGATTATTTAAAACAATTTCTTTTAATTTGTCAATTTAATTTCTTCTATATAATATTTCTTCATCCCCAATTCAAATGACACAACAATAAAAATATAAATATAATATAAATTAACAAATAAATTAATCAAATAACGATTATCTTCTCCTTGAGAACAAAAAAAAGGAAAATGACTTCAACAGTTTGAGTTTTTTTTATTTTTTACGTCACGTTCACCACTTTATACGCGAATATAGTTGTCAGAAATTGTGTATATGTGTATGTGTATGTGTGTGTGTGTGTGTTTATCCGTGACCCTGAACGTCAGTCGTGTTCTTTAAATGAACCACCACCAAGAGCTCTTGCAAAATGGTTTTAGTTTTGATGTCAATGCGAATCGTTGAAAAGTATTTATTTATTTAAATAATTTATCGTTATCTTGCAGATGTTCTTGTTATACTTGATGATAAGAGGAGAGAATGATCAGGATCAAATTACAACACTTACTAAAGCTTTTTTCACTATGTTCACCGTGACGATACCATAACACGACTTAACACAGGTAACAAATAGGGGTCGTAGCAAGCAACTTTGCGTCGTTGTCATGGAAACCGCGTATGCGCATAAAAGCTTACATCGTATTCATCCCCTATCCCCACTCTTGCATATACATACATACATAGACACGTTGTGCATATGATTCTAACGTTTAATGGTTATAACACTATCATAGTATTTGTATGTATTCCGAGTATATCACCATTCTAAACGTTTATTTTGTCTCACTTGTACCTTTTTTACTCTTTCTCTTTTTCTCTCTATATATATGTATAATTGTGTGTATGTGTGTGTCCATTTCTCAGTATAGTTAAAGCATGCGTACGTGTACAGGTTCAATGTCAAGTTCTACCTGCTGCCGTCATGCGACTATTCTCGAACATAACACACTCTAAGATAGTCTAGAGGTCTATTATACCTGTCTAGGTGTCTTTTAATTGAAGTTTCTAATGAGATCTTATTCTTCAATCATTTTATTTTCTTTTTTTGAATCAATTATTCTTACATGTATGTTTATACAAGTATGTGCATATAATTATGCAAGTGAAGTAAAATGAGTTAAAATCTTAAAAAGGAAATAAATGTTCATATTTACTTTAAATTATAATAATTAAATGTTAAAGGTATTATATAATGTTTAGGATAGTAATGTTTAAATTACTATTTTAATAATTATTATTAAATTTTGTTAATATTTTAGATAAAGTAATTTTTAGGATATTGGCAAAAAATAAACTTGTTAAAAATAGTTCTAGTTATTTTAGTATTAAATAAATAAATAATAAATCTATAAATATAAATAATATAAATAAATAAATATATTTATTTATTATTTATATTATTATTAATTAATTATAATTAATATAAATAATAAATCTTTTAAATATGTTGAAACAAAAAATACAGAATTTTTAGGTTGCTTTTATAATTATAGACACGTATGTATACATATATATATATGCAAAAAACAATGATAATTGTATTATTTAATTAAACTAAAATTAATAAAATTTTTAAATAAATAATTTATAATGTAATTTTATTGTTAATAATAAATAAAATATTCTTTCAAATTGTAATACTTAAGATAGTAATGTTTAACTCTTATTATCTTCATAATTATATAAAATAATATAAAATTATATAAATATTATATTATAAAGATTATATAAATTATATAAATAATATTATAAATATTATATAAATTATATAAAATAATAACTTACTATCTTAATAATTATTATTAAATTTAGTTAATGTTTTAGATGCAGTAATGTTTAAGATATTGTTAAAAAATAAACTTGTTAGATAATTCTTATTATTTTAATATTAAATAAAAATAATTTTTAATATTCAAATGTAATCCTTTAAATATCAAAACCAAAAATACATAATTTTTAGGTTACTTTTATAATTATAGGCACTTATGCATACATATATACAAGAAAACAATGATAACTGTATTATTTAATTAAACAAAAATTAATAAAATTTCTAAATAAATAATTTATAACGCAATTTTTTATTGTTAATGATAAACAAAATGTTTTTCGAAAATAATCGTTTCGTTTTATCCTTTATGTTTCACTTTTGTGAAACAATTTATGTTCCAATATTTTGTTTGTTATACAACCATATTATCTCGTCCCATTTTTTTTCTTTAAGTTCGTATTTAATTTGAATAAATATTATACACTAAGAAGAGGGCCAAGGAAAATTCTTTTCCTTGGATATGGTGGTCGAATAGAAAAAAAAAAAAAGAAATGAAACGATCGAAAGTTAGGGTTTTATGTGGTAACAAAGTCTGTGACTCACATCATCGAAAGATTATATTCCCTGTGTAAAGACAATTTAACCCACTTTATTAAGTTACGGTTTGGAGAAACGATTGTTGAATTTAATATGCCAGTACAGAGAAGCTTACCAGCAAATTAATGTGTCGTATATAATAATTTGAAGGTTAGATATATGGAATTAGAATTGTCCTTGTCGTAGAAAATCTTTTACCATTTTTTAAATTACCTTATTTTAATTTCAACGTATCGATGATTATATAAACTTACATCGATGAAATTTATACGAATCTATAGAACAAACAAAAATGAAGAATAATAAACAATAATTTGCAATATATATATATATATATTTTTTTTTTCAATTTCTGAACGAAAACGTGATCTGTAGTTTGTGTGTCATGATGTTTTTAATAAATTAAACATGACTCATTTAGTTAAACATACGAATCTTATTAATTCATTTGAAATAATAGAATATTCTAACATAACCTATAATATAGAAACAATTTAACAATTAAAATAGATCTGACGATAATCGTTTGAAAATATTAAACGATATGATGTCACACATGTGACTTCGATTATCACATAATATAGTTTTCTACATCGAATAACAAAAAGAGAAAAGGATAAAGACACCCTTTATTAGAACAGATAAAATATTCAATAATGGATAACGTTGCTTGAAACATTTAGCGTTTAGATATCGATTGTTCTTAAGGATATATCGAAAACTTTATGAATATACATATTATATTATATCGTGAATATGATACTATTAAAAAAAAAAAGAAAAGGAAATTTATTTCGTCATAATATGACATCAAACTGAATAATAAAACGTAAATTAATGTAAATTTTAATCGTACGAATTGTTTTTTTGTAAAGGAACAAAATTATTTCCAAAAATTCGTCCACAAATAATCAGAATGGGTGTGTAATAGTCGCCATATTTGTTTCTACTATTCAACGATTTTTCCGATTAATAAAACGTAAATTAAATTTGAATTGAACGAATTATTTTTTGGTCGTAAATTAATGTAAATTTGAATTATATGAATTATTTTTTTGTAAAGGAACAAAATTATTTCCAAAAATACGCCCACAAATAATCAGAATTGGTATATAACAGTCGCCATATTTGTTTCTAACATTCGACGATTCTTCTGATTAATAAAACGTAAATTAATCTAAATTTGAATTGAACGAATTATTTTTTGGTCGTAAATTAATGTAAATTTGAATTATATGAATTATTTTTTTGTAAAGGAACAAAATTATTTCCAAAAATTCGTCCACAAATAATCAGAATTGGTATATAACAGTCGCCATATTTGTTTCTAACATTCAACGACTTTTCCGAATAATAAAATTAATGTAAATTTGAATTATATGAATTGTTTGTTTATAAAAGAACAAAATTATTTCCAAAAATACGCCTACAAATAATCAGAATTGGTATAAAACAGTTGCCACATTTGTTTCTAACATTCGACGATTCTTCTGAATAATAAAACATAAATTCGTCCACAAATAATCAGAATATATAACAGTTGCCATATTTGTTTTTAATATTGAACGATTCTTAAGAAGCTGATGACCTTAATAATGACCCTGATAAATACTAACTTTCTTGTTTCTTAGCTGGTGGATGAGAAACCGATGGCGCTGACAACGATAACCACGTATCGGCAGAATGTTTCTAAGGTTAAATTATTTAAAACTGTAATTCAGTTACAGCTGTCCATTGTCCCATACATCTATGCATAATTCTTAGTTGACGAGCTAAGTTAGTATCAAATGTTTCCAATGACACTGTTTCCTTTTTTTCTTCATTACAGTCGAATTGTTTTTTAGACCCCTCACTCCACCTCCTCCCAAAAAAAGAAAAGAAATGAAAAAAAGGGTAATCAATTTTTTACCAGATATCTTTCATACTTCATTATCAATAATTTGATTCACGTTGTCCAACAAAATCATGATTGTATTAAAAATTGTATAAATTGTTCTTTTTCATACTATTTTTTCTTTAACATGTAGAAATAAAAAATATAACTAGGATTGTTCGTAGTTATGCAATGTGTATATTGTTTGTTAATATTTTTTTTATATTTAAAATTCATTGAATGTTTTGACGTTGCATAACAAAATGTTCAATCGAATAAAAACATTAGATGTTAAATAGAATATATTAGAAAAATATGAACGATTCGTAATGCGTATTAAAGAGTTCACTAGAAATGAAAGTAGAAAAGTTCCCTGATTATATCCAACAAGTACTACGAATTGTTGAAAAGGTCAAAGATGACACAAAAAGGCTATTTACCATGCTCGATGTTATGAAGTATGTAATAATTTTAATAAAAATATTTCGTGGTGTATTTAATAAATCGTTTCATATATAAAAAAAAAAAAAAATACACTAGATACTTTTTTTCCAAATGATATGATATTACTGATTGTTATTTTATTGTTATAAATAAATATAAAAAGAAAAATTGATAACAAATCAGTACTTAAGATATCTTAGCATTTTTTTTTTTTTGAGTTTATACAGTCGGGTATAGAAAAGGTGTTCCATCGTTTAAAAAGAAACATATATGTATAAATAAATAATGAATTAATTGTATTCATAAGATTTTCTTTATTATTTAAATAAAAAAGAAAAAGAAGGAACCTTATTATTTTTTAAATCGAGATGTGATCTTTATTAAAAAAAAAAAAAATAAAATAAAATAAAATAATATAAATTTATACGTTCATTCCTAAGAATAAAAAAAAAAAAAAAGAAATCACAGTTCGATAAAAATAGTTTCTTCATAAAATATTACACACAGTGGAAAAGAGTTCTAACATATTTTCGCCATTTTTCTTTACATCTTTTTTCTCGACATATACATATATATATATTATGTTATATAAATATATATTATGTTAGAGAGAGTAAAATATATTTTACATTTTCTTTGAAAACGTTTTTTTCTTTATCCCACATTTTTGTTGTTGTTGTTGTTGTTTTTTTCGTTTACATAAAAAGATGATAACACAGATGATAAAAAAAATTGAACTTAAATAATAAAAATAAATTACTCAAACGAATGTCATCTGTTGTTGTATGTTGTAAAGTGGATCAACGTTGTTTCTAAAAATAGGAATAAAACAAGTGAAACGATTATTATTACGAATTGTATCATCGTTTCTATTATCATTAGTTATCCAATAAGCTTTTATATGAGCAGTTCCGGATTTGTGTTTGACGAGTAACTTTATATCAAGATTTTGTTTACGCCATTGTATTAATGATATATAATGAAACCTGTAATTACACATATAACATTATTAAATCTAACATATATTCAACACAATAAATGTGAATACATTTATAAGATAAAATATATTAGATTATCCGGAAAGTTCGTGCCGATTTCCGATAGATGGCATTAAAGTTCGTTTGCTAAAAAAAAAAACAACCTGAGAAGTTCTGAACGGAAGAAATTTTGAAGCTACCCTTAAAGATGGAGAAAGATTGTAAAACAGAATGGCACTTAGATATAATTTAATAAATATATACCAACAACAATAACAAAAACTTAAATTGCAAAACATTTCAATCTTTCATCAAAATCGGCACAAACTTTCCGAACAATCCAATATTATTATTCAAACGTACCTTATTGTAATGATCAACCATAAACAAAATGTGATTACCAGCATACAACAAAGTACAGCTAAGCCAATACCTTCCCAAAAACCTAATCGTGCATATGCATTAGCACCAATTCCACACAAATAAGTGGCAACTACACATAATGGCATGAGTACTACTAAACAAATCATATCTCCGGTGATTCCTTGTGGTCCATAAGTGGATGTACTTCTCCACCATTGGAAACAAGACTAAAAAAATGTTTGTTTTTTGTTCAAGATTTTCTATGAAATGAATCATCAATCATATTTATAATGAAATTTTAATGTTAATAATTACTTGACACAATGGTTTTTCCTTTTTCTCAAGAATGAAAGTATACTTGCAAATTTCGCAATGATCTGTGTTCGATGCAGACAACCATTTTTCCAAACAACTAGCATGTATCAAACCTAAACTACCGGTACAATCGCAAGGATCTATTAATTCTTCAATACTGTCATCTATTTGATAACAAAAGAAATATAATAAACAAATATATTATTATTATTATTATTATGATTATGATTATTATTAGTTAGCATTAGGAACTCGAAAGTTCATTGCCACAAATCCCGCCATTGTTCCCGTCCTTAAGCGCAATCCTTCCATTACAAACAAATATATTAGAAAATTCAATTAAAAATTTGTCACAGACGAGATTTAATCTTAAATATAACGATAGATAAATGATCTTTCATATATCAATAACCAATTAAGACGATGAAGATAAGATTACATATTTGAAATTACGAATGATCTCATATTTATATATAAAAAAAAAACTATTAATTGTCTTTAATGTTAACTTTATAAATTTAATATAATTACGTTAAAATAAATGACCGCGAGACACAAATGTGGAAACAAAAAATAAGTAAATAAATAAGAAAAAAATAATAGAAATATAGTACAATACCTTCGTGACAAATTCGACAGTAAATATTCGAATGGCTGTTTCGTTTATCCGATGTCATGATGGATCGGTAGAAAGATGACAATGTTGTTTTCAAAGAAACGATCGTTTTCAGTTGGTCCGTCGCTCCGATGGCGACGGACGATGAATTTATTGTTGTTGATGATGGGTTGCTTCGTTCGGATTCCATCGTATATACGTATATATACACATATATATTAAAACGTTCGTTATCACTTCTATTATCATGAAATTATCGCGGGAAATGGTAACACGTTCAAGACGCAGGATACTACAAAATACTTTTCACATTAGACACGTTTAAAATAGTTGTCCTCTTTTCAAATACTTTCCTTCTTATAAACGTTTAATAACTCTTTAGTTTGATATTATATACACATATTGATATACACACAGTTATACTTTGACATTGACGACAATAGCAGGATGTTTTGTTCCGTTCGAAGGTAAACGATGGGACTTTTAATAATTTTCGAATACCATTTATATCTTTCATACTTACGTGTTATCATTTTATTTTTTCGTTCAAAAGTTATTTTTAAATATATATATATATATATATATATATATATATTTTTTTACTTTTTTTCATTTTTATTCAAATACGAATGTTGTTTTCATTAATAAATTATTTTCTTTCGAAACAAATTTGCGTTAAAACTAAAATTGATTAAATTTGTAATTTAAATTAAATTCAACGCGTGATCTACAATGACAAAATAATTTATTAAAACTAAATCATATGTGAATTTAGTATGAAAAGTGTAGAAAAATAAAATAAAATTAATTAACGACAATAGGAATTTTATTTTCAAAATTATAAAACCCAATAAGCATTGAATACGATGAAAGAATCGGTTCAAATGAAAATTCGTTTGAAATAGTCTCATTTTATTTCAAAATAATAAAATGCATCTTAAAGATTGTTTTATAAAATATTATACAAAATAACAATATATAATTTAATGTTTAATAAATGTCCCTATTACTTTATTTGCATCTGTATATAATAATAATTTATTATGAGATTTTGTTTTTCTTATACATTTGCGAAAACTTACACCATAATTTCTTATAATCATACATTTTGTTCAATTTCAATGATCAATGATCTATTCGTAAGAAAAAGAATTTTTTTTTTATTTTACATGATCTGATTAATTGCTATTTTTAAAACAGACTTTTGATTGTGTAAAAATGGTACTTCAAAATGACTTATTTTTAAATACGTGATTTTTCTAAAGATAATAATATTTTATCCAAAATATCAATTAATCAATTTATCTAATCTAGATAAAATTGCGAACAATGTAGAAATTGTTTAAAACCATAATAGGTTATATGACAATTTCTATAAGAAAAAAAAAAAGATAAAATTGTTAATAATTATAAATAATTAATTAAGAAACATTAACATAAGAAATAATGAATACTTGTATTTATTTACGTTGTATGTGTGGCCAACCTGATCAGAAGAAACGTCAAATATTCCAAACTGTTTTCACGTTTCTGATCAGGTTAACCACACATACCATGTGAAAATAGTTTGTAATAGTATTTAATATTAGTATTAATTTTTTAATCTTTTTATTTATTGACGTTTAATAATTAACGTATTATAATGTTAATAATATTGTTAAAAAATTTGAAAAAGACTTTTTATACCGCGAAAAATACAATGTGTTGCGCATTCTCGCATTTAACATGACGAGCTTTTAAAGAGGTTACCTAACCTCAAAATCGTGCATGCAACTAATGTTCTGTCTGGTGCTTATTATTTTTTATTCTTAATTATTTATCGTTAGACGACGCAACATGAATATTCCTGACATTACTAGTGAGGATGAATTGTTAGATAATGATGACGACAAAGATTTAGATTTTGATATACAAAATTATGAAGATGAGATTAATAATGAAGATTCAGATGAATTTACAGATAATAATGATAATGATAATAATGATGATAATGTAAGTAGTTTATAGATACTTAGTAGATATTATTTTTATTTTTATTTACAATTGCATTGATTGCATGATGATTGTGTGTGTGTTTTATTTTTGATTATTAATTAAACATATATGTTATACATATATACATAGAAAGAAGATGATAATGAAGGAGAGGAAAATGAAATGGAGGAGGACAATTATGAAGAAGAAAATGAATACATTGGTCCAGTTTTACCAGATGGACATAGATTTGATAGAAAATTTACTTGCATCAAATATCCAGGAAACGTTGTTAATCCAGACAAAGCTATCAAAACGTTAGGTGGTATCGAATCAATTTCTACGGTATGTATGTTATGAATTGAATATTATTAAAAAGAGATTTCACATTATCTTCTGCATGATAATTTTCTTAATAATTTCTTTCTTTGGTAGGCGGTAGATGCTCCCAACAGACGTCTTGAATTAAGATTTAGACCTGATGATGGATTCACTAAACCAACATGTGGTGATCGACATTCTAAAACTGCATTCTTACTAAGAGTTAGAGTTAAAAAACATAGGATTGACAAAGTACAAGAAAATGCTGAGAAATCTCAAAATGATGCACATATAGAAAGTATGAAAAATATAATGAAAAATATGTCTTTGAGTACTGATAGTTCTAAAAGTAATGTCGACCGAAATGACATTCAAAATAATCAGAAAAACTCTAAGAAAGATAATACTGTAACAGATTTAGTCGAACAAATACAAAACTGTAATTTATCGACAAAGACTGATACCAAAAGTTCTATCAAAAAATCTTCTAGTAAAATTTCTGATACTTCACCTGATGCAAGCAAGAATTTGTTGAAAGAGAAAAAAAACATTGAACCAACTTTTGATCGTAATAAATATGAAGATCTTTCTCAAGATGAACAATATGAACTACCAAAATTAAAAATATTAGGAAGAATCGATACTGAATTTCAATTTAATAGTAAGTATATTAATAAATTTCATCAATTTTTATTTTATATTCATTGAATTTAATTATTACAACTTGTTGTTTATAGATTTGTGTGATTTTCAATATTTAACATTGACAGAAAAGAAAGACAATCCTAAAAAATTGGAATGTATATACGATAAAATATTTCCAACTGGAATTCCATCTTATTCGTGGTTAAAAAATGATGTACCTTTTTTCTTACCACCAGCTGCGTTCAGCAGAATGGACGGTGTACATCAATACGTACCCAAAACTGAAACTAATTCGCTATCAGAAAATGTCATTGGAAAAAATAAAAAACGTAGAGGAGGTTTTGTTAATTTTATTTGTTTCAAGACCCCAGGTGTTCCTACTAAACCACCGCATGGTATTGAGACTGCTATGAAAGTGAAATTTCTACAAAATATGCATATAGATAAAATTCGTCAAATGTTTGAGGAAAGACCAATTTGGTCTAAAAATGCTATATTATATCATACAAAGTTCACTACAGAACATTTAAAAATATTATTACCTTCTGTAGCATATTATTTTATAACAGGCCCATGGAGAATTATGTGGATTCGTTTAGGTTATGATCCTCGGAAGGATATTACAGCTAGAAAATATCAAACCTTAGATTATAGATTGAGAGCTATGCGTAAGAATATTTTCTTTTCTTCTCTTTCATCCATTTGCAGTTACATTATTTACTGTAGAAACTTATGTATATCTTTTATAAATCATATAGGTGGACTGGGTTATACAATAAAATGTAAAAGAAATTATTCAGAGTATACATTACCGTACAAATCTGCTCCAGCAGCTAAACCAAAGACTAGTATACTCACACCGAACTTAACTATGGAACCAGATGAGACAAAAGAAACCGAAATGAATGAAAATATGTATATTTATAGAGAAGGCATGGTTCCTCCTTCAAGGCAAATGTTTTATCAGGTTCATATTATATATTAGATTTATATCTTTTAAAAAAAATAGATATACAATATTGAAATTATTATTTTGTTTTAGTATTGCGATATCCTTGTGGACGAGGTACAAGAAATGTTGGCAAAACTTCCTGATCCTTTACCTGGTACAAGATGTCATGAAAAAAGGGGATGGTTACCAAGTGGTTTTGATACTCAATGTAGAGAAATAATTAATAAACAAATTCGTAATGTTTTAAGAAAACAATTGAACATACCAGAAGATCGTAAGTAATTTTGTTCTTTTAAATCATAGAAAATATGATTTATCAAAAGCATATTCTACGGATATTTGTTTTGTAGATCCTACAACACTTCCAAGAAAACGAAAATGGGGACCTGGTCATAGAATAAATAGGATTAATTGTAAAAAAAAGAAAACAAATGCAAATGTTGAACCATCTACTTCTAAAGCTAATGTAAAAACTTTATCAGAATCGAGCGAAGGAAAAGAAACTGTTATTAATAATGAATAAAGTGAATATTATTTAGATCATTTTTCTTTTATACCAATATTATGTATATATATATTCTTTAAAATGGAATGATTAATAAAAGATTATTATATGAAAAATCGAATAAAAACCTTGTTCCTTTTTTTTCTTTATAAAATAAGAATGAGACACGAAAGGTCAAAACAAAATAAAAGGCGCTTTCTTACTAGACCTACGTTTACGATTTATTCATAAATGTACAGAAACTGTCAGCCAGATATCTATCAATAAATACGTGTACATAATGAATTATTTTTTATCGGAAATATCATAATTACATATTGGACGATGTGGATAAAGTTATAGTTGAACTTCATTGGATAAATGAGAGAAGGAAGGAAAATGTTGCAACGATGAGACACTTTAAACTGAACATTTCTTTGTTTTTTTTTTTTTTATGACAAAATCAAATTCTAAAACGAATATTTCCTTTAAATTAATCAGAATAATTAATGATTATTATGAACAATTCCTACACTTTTGAATAAAAGGAACACAAGGCCAATGAAAAAAAGAAAATGATGAAATAATAAGAACGAATTGTTTCTAGATTAAAATAACTGATATGAAAATATATTCAAATAGTATTTTCCTTGTACCAATTTCATTGAATTAATGCAACATTATCGTGTCTCTATTGCAACGTGTAATAAAAGCAAAGAAGGGGTGGGTGGGTGTTGATGATTCTGATGAGGAAGGACCACCGTCGTGATATCACGTTGGCCTGAGAAATTGTATAAAAGCATCTCACAGACGAATACCACGGTTGGTATTTGCGACATAATTGAGGAGTTCCTCGGAATCTTCGCAAACGAAAGGTTTCTCGTGGTAGCAAGCAACATCATGCCAAGCGATACCATCGTTGTAAACGTTGTTAAGTACGGATAAACAGGACTCGTTGGTACCGTTGATATCGAATTCTGCATTATCAGGTTGCCTAACTTTCTTGTGTCCAGTTTGAGACCAAGGATTGAAACCCCAGCCAGGTGGTATTTGGTTGGTTGGTGCCATTTTCTCACGATTTGCCGACCAGAACCAACCGTACAATGATTTAGGTTCCAAATCGCGTCGGTTTTCGCAACCCTTGAAATCACAAAGACGACCGGATGTCCAAATGTAAGGAACGTCGTCTGAAAAAAGAAATAAGAAAAATAAAAGTAGTTCGAGTAACATAATGGAAACGTATAATTTTGCAATTTTGACAATTGAAATTGTTTTCGTCTTTTTTTCTTTTTTTTTTTTTTTTATTAGTCGAAGAAAGAAATCGTTGTGGATTGTGCGAAAAAAAAGAGATCTGAGACACGAGACACTATACAATACTATTGCATAAAAAGATGAGATCGCAGCCTCAACCCACTTAAAGATTCTTCGCATCACCTTGAAAGATCGACGGTTATACTCTTCTCGTCATTTTTTTCTTTTTTTAATGAGATTCCTTTTGATGATTTAAGATTAGAGAAAAGTATTATACGATACTTGTGTTTGCGTTACGATTCGATTAAATTATTATCGATTTAATATTGAAGATATTTTTATTATTATGAACACTGGTGTATTTAGAAATATTGTTAAGTTAAGAAATGTTTTTAGTTGCCAATCAATAATTAAGTCAGCTTAGTTTCGTTAATCATCAAATACTCGTTGGAGTATAACATGTAACATGTTACGTCGTTAGGTAGTTTCGTTTCGAAATATTCGAGACGTCAAGAATGATGTATCTTGTGAGAATGAAAGTTACGACGGGCGTATAAATCATTTAAGAATTCCCGCGTGTGCTTCGTTATTAACGACATTTTCTTCTTCGGTTGATTCTTAATGCTGTTGTATAGAACTTTCTAAGGTTATCGTGTCACGTCTCCTTATGTTAGTCGTTGAAATTCTTACGTAGTATCTTCTCTCATTGATGATTTTCATAATTTTACATATTTCTTTATTTAAATTTAATACTCATGACTACTTTGTTTACGATTTCTATCTCTCTTTTTATTCTGTGGTATCGATTTTTTTATTTTTTTATTTTTTATCGAAGAATAAAAAGAAAAGAATAACGCGTAAAGACGAATAAAGAAAATTGTCCCAATTGCATTTGAAATTGAAATTGAAATGATGAACGAAGGATAAATGTGATTGATTTAAGTATCATTTTCTAATTATCGATCATATCGATCATTATTTCGTGATTTATTATTATACTCACTCTGTTGTATAAGTCTAAAGATCATATTATTTTCCTCTTGAGTTTCCATAGATACTAAATCCATACAATATTCTCTGCAAATGTTTCTGGCATCCAACCAATCGACTTTTTGATTAGCATGGGCAGGAACATGTCCGCTGTAGAAATAATTGTGACCACGGAAATTGAATTGTTTAGGTCCTGAAAATAACAAAACAATAACAAATTAATCACAATATTTATGATTAAAGAACAAACGAGATAAATTCATTCAAAAATATTTGTCAAACATATTTAGTTCTGTTTAAAATGTAATAAATAATTTGTTTATCGAATGAGCCAATTTTAATGGCGAAATTTATTAATAAATTTTAAAATAAAATTAAAGATATATGATAGTTAATGTTGAATAAATAGAAATACTAAAATATCAAATAAAATATAAAAAATAGAAATACAAAAGTATAAAATAAAATATACAAAAAATATATACAAAAATATATATAAAATACATATATAAATACATAAAAAATAGAAATATAAAAATATAAAAAATATAAAATAAAAGAAAAAAAAACAAATAATAAAATAAAGAAAATTTACTTAAAAGTTTTCTCTTTCTATTTGAATACAAAAAAAAAAAGAAAATATATTTATAAAAAAAAAAAAGATGGAGAAAGAATCACACTTATAACACAGAATCTAAATACACATATAATGTTTCGTAACACGGCGTTAGGTACCACTATTACTACTACTACTATTACTATTACTATTACTATTACTACTACTACTCATAATGGAACACACGTCGTAAATTGTCGATGGGAGAGGCATACCTGCATAAATACCGAGAAAAAGTATAAAACCGTTGACATTTAAAGCGAACGATAATGACGCGACGCCGATTACAAACCCTCTTTCCTAGAGCAACAACGGTGCTCACTCATCATGAAGATGAAGATGAAGATGAAGCTGAAGATGAAGATGAAGAAAATGAACAAAACAACCAAGACAACGAAGCCAACAGTGAAGATGATTATGATGATGATGATGATGATGATAATGATGAAGATGATTACGATGTACGCAAAATCGAATAATCGGCCCACATAAGCATAGATAAATATTTTTCTACGTAGACCATCCACTTGGTCACCTGCAATTTTCTTCAATTGTTCAGCCAATTATCGGAGTTTAAAAGATAGCGTATAACCATACTCGTTCACTTTGGGACACAATGTATGTAAGCAAAAAGGYGTACATTTGTTCTTTTTCTTCTTCTTCATCTTCTTCTTCATCTTCTACTTCATCTTCTTGTGTAATACAATTATCTACGAATTTTTCTACGAGTTTTATGTGAAAGTTGAAGTTGCGTCGTTGTTAAAAAAAAAAAAAAAGAAAAGAAAAGATAAAAGCGAATAAAAGGGGACACAACAACAAAAAAAATAACCTCAAAAGACATTTGTATTCTTGAGTAAAAGTAGGGGTGGGGGAAGAGGAGGAGGAGGAGGAGGAGGAGGAGGAGGTATAGTCAACTTTTGATATTTCGTATAGTTATATAAGAAACTTTTTAATAAACGTTTATATACTTCGATGACGTTATGATGACGAAAATGATTTAGTCTTTGATATCTAATTTCTACACACTTGTATATGTGTGTGTGTGTACATGTATTCTTTTGTAATAAATGTTGATCGAAATATCGATTAAAAGATTCTATGTTAGAAGAGTTATAGATCAAAAATAAAATATATAGGATTGAAATTCCATAGATGTTGCAAATTCATGTTAAATCGTATTATTTTCTTCTCGACATATCGCGGTAGTCGATCGAGACTCACCGGGTTCTTCGTGCACGTGTTCAGCAAGACATTGACCGCGGTTAAACGATTGTAAAAGTTGACGTGTGTCGTGTAATATACAGCAACGTCTTATGCATACTATTGTTTGACAACACGCAAATGCATTAATTCTATCTGTATATATTGTATAAATTCATAAATTAAATGGTTGGAGATATGTGCAATAGTTTGTCAGATTAGATTGATTAGATTTTTTTGTTTGTTTTTGTTGGTAAAATGACTAGACTCTTTGAAATGATCTAACTGTATCGAAGAGAAATCGTACGTAATCTAAAATGACTTAGTAAATTTATGTAACTCGTATAAAAAGAAAAAAAAAGATAGAAAGATAGAAAGAAATTAAGAACAAATAGTGATGGGTTTAATATGAGTCAAAAGATGGATTAAATTAATCAATACAATTACTGTTTATAATTAAAATATATATAATATTTTTTATATTTATATTATATAATTATTTATTTAATATATTAAAAAAATAATATATTAAATAATAATGAATTAAAAAAATATTTAGTAAAATAATATAAAGAGATAAGTTAAATAAGAATGATGATATTTATTTATTGTTACGTCAAAAAATATATTCGATGATACTCGATTTCAAGATAGAAAGTAAAAGAACACAAGCAAGTAGGACCGTGTAAATTCAAATCGACGTTATGGTGGAATGATTGCAGCACACACCTCTCATCGTGTTTCTATACTACCAACAACAACGAATAAATACGAAGAAGAGGATGAAGATGAAAATGAAGAAAAAGAAAAAGAAAAAGAAGAAGAAGATCCGTCCATCAGGTGGTGTATTACGACATAGGACAGAGTCGTGATTCTCTCGATCTCGGTATAAATTTAACGAACCTCCAAGTACTAACAGTGGAACAAGAATTACGACTGTCAAGGCACCTGAAGATGTGTGTTCCCAAGGCGACCAAGAAAGGCACACCTTAAAATTATTTACTTTCTTTTCGTTTTCTCTTTATACCACTTTCTTACTTTCGATTAAATACAAATTTTAAATCGAATAATATGAGTACTGTTTTCTATGTATATATATATATATATATATATATATATCTGTCTCTCTGTCTCTTTCTATGTATGTATGTATGTGTGTGTATGTGTGTAAATTGCAAAAGATTATAAAGATAATACGAATCAAATATTATACGATAAAGATGATGATGATGATGATGATGATGGTAATACGGATTAATATTATTATACTTATTATACGTGATTTTCTTCTATACGTACTTGATTATATAAAAAAAAAAAAAAAATGAAGGAAAACGATTAGAGAAGAAGAAAAAAATGTTTAACTCGATATCTCTCGTGAACATTAGTAATTTAAAATCGTTATATCATCGTTCATTAAATATTTATATACTTTTATTATATTTTACGTCCCGTTTGTCTTCCCTCTGTGTCAAGGAACTCCCATATTTATTACGATAATCGTTTGACTCATGAGTACCGTTGTTAACTGACGATAATTGTGTAATCCCGTATACAAAAGAAACTTTGAGATGTTTATTTTTTTATATCTCTTTTTTTTTATTCTTTTTTTTTGGGGCACTCGAATGTTCACTAATATTTTTGACAAGATTTATTATTGAATTATTGATCACGAATATTCAATTGATTTATTATATATTTCATAATAAAAATCAAACAAAATGTCTTCCTTTTTTAAATTGTCGAATTGTTGTTGAACATTGAGGTTAGGATTTTCAATAAGATTTATTATTGAATTATTAATCACGAATATTCAATTGATTTATTATATATTTCATAATAAAAATCAAA